GAAAATGTTGCTCTCAATGTTCCAAATATTATTGCAAACAGTCCAACAATTTATTTAACCATTAAGCCTTAAGTAATAATATCAGCTGCAAGCGAGTCTATTACCGTGACTGTGTATAAATTGTGAAGTTAGCAGTGCAAAATCAAGTCCCCCATTTTAAAGAAACGATATTACATTCCGAACAACCGTACTTTTCATATGTAGTTTTCTTAGCGATTTCATTAGACGTAGCATCGTTGATAATCCAACTATTGTTAATTTCAAGGTGCAACGTCCCCCATAAACCGGGACGCTGTTAACTTTCTCATAAGCAAGATTGGCGCTGATAAAAACCTATTGGTGTCAGCCTCTCAGATTGTGCGGGGCGTACCTGAAGGCGCATGTACTGCACCTATCGTTCCGACACGGGCCATGGGCTAAACAAACACTAAGCCGGTGGGGCCTAATTTAAGAGATGAGAGCGATATATTTGTCAATTATTGTGATTAAATGAGACTTAAAAAGATATGTTGTTTTGTCTATAGAAAAATTCATAAACGTCATTGAAAATTAGTAATAAATTTTGTATCTGATAATTAAGACTTCCGATATTCTCTTAGTGGTGGTAAGCTTCTTATTGACAGTCATTACAAATAAGATTCTCATAGTATCAAATATGTAAAAGCAGTTTTCATGTTTTCCCTTATGACTTTCTGGTTCCTGTTTTTGCTTATATAAAATATTTATAATTCATAAATATCTCATTCAAGTACAGGCGTAATGTTTGCCGCTATACGATTCCTCTTTTATAATAATTGACGTTTTAAGCTTGTGTCGAGTATATGACCATACAGTGCTATATCGATAAACGATTTTTAATCGAAATTTAACAATGTCAATAGATAGCGGTACTTGAAGTTCTTTCATTGGATGAGAGTGTTGCCACATCTCCCCTCTTAGACCATTTCCATCTTTCCTTTCACCATCGAGAGATATTGTCCATGCGGCCGCGATCCCTACACCTCATTACCATATACTGCGCCCCTGACAGCAGTGCAATTAACTATCTGTTTATTGTTGTTAAATTATAAACGGCATTGCGTGATATCACTTCTGGGTATGGCTGCTCTGTCCCCCTTAGTGTTGTAATATTTTACGGTTTCTATTCAGGTTGTTCAATATATTAATCCACATTAGAAAGCTCCTTCATTATCCTACAAATACATATTATAATTAATGTAAAGCTAAATTTTTAAGTCAGTGAATCAAATTTCGTTCTAGTGTCCCAAAATTTTACGTCAAAATATTCCCAGGATGAACCATAGATATTCACACAAACAATGTCGTGGCCTAATTAATTGGAGATTATTTTTTGGTGCTAATTTATATGCACGTCATGCTAAGCTACAGGTACATAAAAAAGTACTATTAGTATTGTCAAACTAAATCAGTGAATCAAACAAAAAAAAGATAATGGAAGAAATGTAAATGTCTGTTATAAAAAAATATGTGACTTATAAAATAAAACCATTAAGATGAAATATTTTTATAAGTACTTACTTATTTCTTAAATGGACATAAACTGTTATGTGGTTTATGGTAATTGTGTAAAATTCATTCATTAGTAAATTATAGCTGCTCTTGCTTTTATTGCTGTTGTATATTTTTATCACTGCCATATAAATTTTTGTTTTAGAATAATTAAATGTATAAACCGGAGTCGGCACAATCAATATTACCCTCTTTTATTAATATGGTTCCCGTAAAATGATTTTGCATTCGACAGAGACTAGTTATTTAATCTATAAAATAAAGTTAACATTTTTTTAAAAATTTGTATAAAATTGATTATAAAATATAACTAGAAGACACCGAGCTATAGCGGAGTGATATCAAAACTTTTAGCTATTGGCAACATTATAATGATAGATAATAATATGTTTAGCATCATCTTCTACGGGTGTATAATATTGTTTGAAGCCTTTTACATAGATTTATGTCAGCTGACTGTTCAACGTCTTCTTGAACAGCTACTCTCAAAGTATAATTTGGTCAGGCCATCACAATTTACATCCAAGGTTGTATTTTATAATGGCCTGGGTCTAAACTCTATCGCGTATTGCACATTCTCCAAACCTCGTCTCCGATGCAACAATAATGTCGCACCTGTTGCAAACCCACATATAAGCACCGAACGATTGTAGGTACAAATTGACTCGTATTCTTCGTATTCATAGCTATACAAGTAACGGATGCACCTACGGTACTATTGTGCACAGGATGCCATGTATTATAAACTATCTTACATACCAGTTTGATCTTGGAGCGTATTGCCCCACCCGATCATTACCATTTATCTGCTCGAGCGACGCTCCGGTATAAATAATTATTTATAGCAATAATCATAGAAAATGTTATTAATATTCCAGATAATCTTTAATAACAGGGAAATTTGTAGGCGGTATATTTATCATAGTCTAACCATGCAATTTTTGATTTTACGGTGTTGTTCCGTAGTTAGAAAATTTACACATTGTTATTATTATAATCTTGTAGCTCGGTGGCGTAGTGGTTAAGCGCCGCGGCCCGCGGTCGTTGTCGTTAAGCAACTTTCGCAGGGGTCGGTCACGGGATGGGTGACCAAAAAATTATTATCTCGAGCTACTCCGTGCTTCGGAAGGCATGTTAAGCCGTTGGTCCCGGCTGCATTGGCAGTCGTTAATACCCTCCAATCCGCATTGGGCCAGCGTGGAGGGTCATGGCCCATCCTCCTTAACCATCCATAAGGAAGGCCTGAGCCCCTGCAGTGGGGACGTAAAAGGGCTGATGAATTATTATAATCTTATGATTTTTAATTAAAATTGAGTAATAAACTGTTCTCCACTAATATTCATATCATTATCGCTCAGAATATATGTTTTGTTACTTAATTGGGAAACATCAAATGCATTAACTTAATTTGTGATTTGTTATAAATAGTGTTCCGTAATACATGTCACATGCTTTTAAATGAATAATTCCTTATTTGTATAAATTTACGATCAATCAAAATCCAGTAAATTACATTAATAAAGATTTGCTCCTTACGCGCAGCACTTATCGTAAGTCATGTCGGCTTTAAAAGTGTTTACTTTATAACGACGACGTTCATTCTCAATAAATTTTCCTAGTACATAAATGTCAATTTAGTTAACATTGTCTAGGCCTGTGGTGTCGTTGCAAAACCGAATAGATTTAATGTTGGTGCCATTGTTTGGTATTTAAATCATCCGATCAGCTGATAACGGCCGTTCAACCTTTCACGATGTGACGCCGACATTTTCTGAATCCATAATGTGTATCCACTCGGATGTGTATGCTAACTAAATATGTTCTGTCGATGTCATGTGGGTGACTTTCGTTTTATAAATTGTCAATAGGATGTTTATTTGATGCGTGTTGTTTGCTCTAAATTTGTTTAAAGTGATTAGAGTTCCAAATGGTTTATATTTAACATTCGAATGTTTTTAATGGTCGTAAAAGTATGGATGGTGTAGATAATGAGATGGCAATGGATGGTGTATGAATGTATGATGAACGGAGCTTGGGTATGGAGAATAGTTAAAGAATTGTAAAAAGTCGTTTAAAATCAATAACTGTCGAAGAGTATTAGGTATGTGTTTGTGAATTACAAGTTTTTACCTCTACTTCGTTTATGATGATATAAACAAGTTTATTGAAACAACTGGGCTTTTATAATTTTAATAAAATTTTTATAACTTGGATTGTTTGTGATTTGAATTTTTTAGTTTTCACTTATATGTATGTTCGTGGAGAAACTTATAAAACTTTTTCATTTGTGTGATATTCGGAACTATACACCACGCGAAATCTCACTGCAATATTAAGTTTTCGATGATTTAATCCACTAGAAATATTGTGAAGACTTATTCCAGCAGTAGGTATCCATAAGAAAAAAACATTGATATTTTTTATAAAGGAATAATTAGGTCTGTATGGCGAGTTATTATTCGCTTGTTCAATTACTTTCCTCTTCTTTCGCCATAATTTAGAATGCGCTGTAGTCAAACTTTTTATATACAAGTTAACACAACATCTCCGTCTCCAGTAAGTAGTTGTCCTATTTTAAATCAGTACAACTAGATGAAATCTTATCAAAAGCTAGAAAACATTAGACGAAGAAGATAATCTTCCAAATACAATCCAATCTCCGCTTCGCCCCTTCGTTTCTTTGCTTGTGAAATATTCTAGTAATGTAATTCATTGCAACGGTCAAGTGGATGATCTAACGTAAGTATTACATCCAAATCATTATAATCATCTTAACCAATTTGCAGTTCATCATCTAACGATATTATGTTGGAAATAAACCGGAATTGGAAGTAATCATTAAGACGTCAACACGAATTATATAGTTACCGACCGGTCCACAATTGCAGGTGGTAATGACCAGGCGAATATTTGTGCCGTTGTATAAGAAAGTCACTCGCTAGAATTAAGTTTTATATTAATTAACCGCTTTATTTATTTTTATTTGTGGACTTTAAATTTTTATATTTAATATTTGACATAATCTTAGTAAAGTAGTTTTGTTCCTAATCCTCATATTATTTCTACTTTCCTCAAGTTTTCCTAAGTTTTATAATCTACTGATAATATATCTTCTTATCCAAGCTTGGAGAGTTGCCTAGTCTAAGATCATAATGGTTTGTGTTCAAAAAAGCTTAACCTATCTGCATAATACCGACCTATCTTTCTGTTCATATTCTAAACTCTTCAGATAACGAGATAACAAAGTTAAGTGGTAGATAATTAGTCTGTCATTTTACCGCCATTCCTAACAAAAAATAGATGTTTATCTCGGCATCTCTTATTTGGTGCTTCATACACAAAACAAAATGAAAACAAACCGAGTCGGATTTATTATTAATGAACCTCCTTGTATGTCTAATGGACTTTCGCCGTTCGGTCGTATAAAACAATTAACATTGCGAGATTTCGGCTTCGGTGTTAGCTGGTGCGTGACAGTGAGGCGTGTTCGGTACGTAAGTGTTAACACGCGCATATATCACTAGTTCGACGTGGTACACCTGTCTGGCCACGCCCACAGCGCCGCGGTCCCCGTGCCCCCCTACCGCCCCCTGTCTTTCGCTTCGCCATCATCAAGATACCACTCCATGTTGAGATTCCGTCGGGGGCGGTGCACACTCGGGTATCACTAATATACGTATCGTGTTTCAGACAGTGTGTTGTGTGAGAAAAACTTTTTGGTGTTATTTACTGTTTTGTTACCTCTATTGTTTGCTGTGTCTATGTGAGTATTTTTTTAATTATGTTTATTAATTTTATTCATTATTTTCGTTTTTAATGTAATTGCGCATGTTATTATATTAAGCATCAGGTTTTATTATTTTTGTATAATAGCATAATGTAACTTACAGTAGAACAAATTTACATTATCAATAACTGATAAGAGTTTAATACGAACGTAAAGTTTTTTTTTAATTCTAGACGAGTATAATGTTATAATAATAATAGAGAAATTAAAGTAAGATTTATAGTTTCCATAAGAGAAATATTTGCGAACACTTGTTGCTCCATCGTCGTGGGCGGAGTTTGAAAAGAAATATTGCGTGAGTACGCAATCGCAAATAGCCTTCTCTTTTCTTCAAAACAAATGAAAGTTGCCTACTTTTAAAATTCAAATTCAGTAAATTATGCTTACCTACTCGTTGTCCCTGTACAAGTTTCAAAGATGATTCTGATAAAAAGGTTGCTTCGTTTTACGCCCGCGGAATATTATATCGTTTATTAAAATACGCATATGAATAAACAGATTTAAGTACGCCTGCGATTTTTTACCAACAGTGTGGAAAAGGGTTAATTTACTATAAAACTATAATAATGTACTTAAAAATGAACCGGTTCATTAGTGCTAATTGTTATAAAAACACCATCGAACTCGACGTTCAGCGCAGGGCTGTCAAAGCATAAATCAATCTAATAAAACTTTCTTCAAAAGGTAATGCAAGTTTTGTTTTATTGTAGCGCTTTGCTCGACGTCGAGTTCGAAGCTGTTTAAAACAGAATAACATTGGAGACGCCAGAAATAGGTTTCAGACCTATAAGCCGGAAACCTATAAGATTTCTAACCAATTTTAGTAGCAGGTTACTGTGAGTAGTTTGGTGGTGATAAGCGTCGCGGTCTGCGATCGTTGTTGTTAAGCAATTCCGTAAGAATCGGTCATGAGATGGGTGACCAAAAGTTATTATATAAAGGTACGGCGTATTTCCATCAATGTTTATAATAGTTAATTTAACTAATTGACATAAATAATATTTTGTTAAATCTTTTCACTTTGGAATATCATAAAAATAAATTTCAGAACACCTACTCTATTTCTCAAAAAACAAAATTTCGTCTCTTTTAGAAACGATAATATGACAATTTGAGCGGTTAGGAAAGAAAATTATTTTTCTATAATTTATGATGCAAGGAACTAACACTCTTTGATGCACAGAAAATGACGGACTTCACGGATATGATTTTAACAAAATCATAAGAACGATTCGAAATTTCGCGAAGTTTCGTTGGTGGACAAACACGGGCCCTCTGTTGTAAAATACGCAGGCGTTGATCACAGAACACAGAAAGCCGGTGTTGATATTGTTTCTCAATATGAAATATATCTGTTGGGTAAATCGATAGTGAAGTAAAAGAAGTGATTTTCTTCACACTGTGAAGGGTATTAAACTAAGAGAATATAATAGGGTTATCATTCTTACCTTTTAACTAATTATTGAAATTTAATTTCATCATCATCATCATCATCAGCCCATATTCGACATAGGCCTCCCCAATTGCACGCCATCTACTTCTAAAACTTTATTGGCAAGTAAATATCCTATTAAGATATTGGAATTAATTAAAATGTTTTATATATCTACGATTCAGTTAACAAATTACTGTTTTGACATTATACTTTTAGATAAATTCCTTTATTAACCACATTGATATTTTATAGTAGAAACAACAATTGGAAAATGAAAGCCACATTTCATTATGAACAATGTGATATAGACACAGATCAACGAAAATTATCCGTTCACCAAGTCTAGTCTGCTGCAGTGTTGTATTGTGTACCTACATACGTCTAGTACTGGCATTAACTTCACTAACGTCTAGGTGATTTGGCTATATCTGACAGAACCTATCTCAATCAAAGGTCCGTGTTCGCTCAAGTCTTTAACCCTTTAACTAATAGCTTAGACATGACTTATGTGTACGGATCTCGAATGTTAATCTTATCCTAAAGCTAGCTAATGTGATGTTGATTCTATAGTGTTTCTGCTTTTATAGCATTGGTGAACCCAAGCTGAAATGTTAACAGACCTATTTCAAGTTAGTGTGTATTTTATCTTACAAGTTAGGAAATCGATTATGATTTATTTGGTTAACCAACGGATGTTTTCATATATCATTATCTTCAGTCGACTAATATGCCCACTGCTGAATCTTATGCTATAGAATAGGGAGTATGGGCCATAGCTCACCATGCAGGTCCGGTGTGCATTAGTTTTTAAAGATGCAGTCTTTAAAAAGCATCCGATTTTGATGTTTCTTCACAAACTTTTGATGTTATGATCGGCCCTTGTGATCACCACCACGCCATCAAGATCCTCTATTTAATTTATAAACAACAGAAATGACTCATAAAAACAAACGATAAAAAAAGCAATTGGCAGCGATTCGTCATTGTGGGGTCCGAATCGAAAAACGGTAACTTTTTAAAATATTTATCAGCCTCGCAATTTATATCCTGATTTTATTTTAGGACTTTATTACATGATATGAAATAGATTGATAATAAGCTACATTTTGAAATATATCACATCACTAAACGCGTCAGTAAATCTTTAGGTCAAATTTGGACATGCTTCTTTAGGGCAAGCGAATCATGAACTGTACGGTCATGATATAAAATTGTGCTGCTGTTCGTGACTTCATCAAACCGATCCCAGCGGAAGATCAGCACTGGTCGCAAGACTAGTATAATTGTACCGTTTTGAGACATCTTTTTCTGTTTAATATATATTTGTATGGCTCGAATAAATGTTTATTATTATTATTAAACGCTTAGTTATAAAAAATGCATTTTAAAGAGAAATAAACCAATGAATGACTTAAGATTTTGCAATTTTAAACGGCAATTTCACCCAACGTAATTATTGGGAGTGTCCCGAAAAATGATACAATGCTTATTATCGGGTATTGCAAATTAAGGAGACACCAATTTTCATAATAATAATACGGTAACACTGACATTTGAAGAAACTGTACAAATACCTAATCTATCTCTGTGATACATATGAGGCGACACATAATTGGACAAGAAGAGATAAAATCTCTGTAAGCCAAAAACAATGTTGACTTTTTTGTGGAGAAAAGAGCTATTGCGATTCTTGTGGCGACTCACAATAGATCTTTTATTATATTTCTGATTAATTTTGCATTCACATTGCCATACTGAAAATTATTCTTTATACAAAATGCTTAAAAAATCCGCTTGGTCCCTGGCATCCTGAGATGGGAATCGAACCCACGATCTTTCGCAATCCGGGCGACTGCTCTAACCACTGAGCTACCCAGGACCTAACAGGACTGACGAATCTTTCAAGTACTTGTTACTTTTCGCTACTACACTACATCTAATCACTAAACCATTACATCTAATTTCTTTGCTGCGCTCTGTATACATGAACAACCGGGTAGCTTGAGCATTGATGCCAGACTCTCTAGGCCTTTCAAGTTTAAAAAAGGAGTCAAACAGGGGTGCATACTGTCTCCCATCCTATTTAATATGTACGGGGAAATACATCATACGAAAAACTTGCGAGGACCGGGAGAGTGGCTTCACCATTGGAGGCAGCAAGATTAATAACTTGCGTTACGTTGACGACACTACTATTTTTGCGGCAAGCGAACCTGAAACGATCATCCTTCTAGATAGAATGGAACTGGTCAGCTCGGATCTCGGACTCTATAAATAAATCCAAACGTAGGTCATGGTTGTAGATCGCACGAGGAAGCTGGAACTCACCGGAGCTCTGAATCTGGAGGATGGCGCGGTAACGTGGACTCTTAAGAAGACGGTTCGACGGATGACGTCGTCACGCATCGATGTTTTTAGCTGACAAGAAAAACAAGCGAAAGAAACTTACCAGCTTTTTATAATAAGTAATGACATTTACATAAATCATACCATAAGCAATATAGTATGTATTATCACAATAATAAATACAACTTTCAAAGTCTGTAGGACATGGGTTGGTACATATAATTAGTGGTTATAGAACAAAGCGAAGGCTATTAATTCCATGTATTACGGTCCTTAAAATAATCATCAATAATAGCCTTTATTCATAAGTATGTTCTTCACATGAATTATGACTTTATTTATGGGTAGATCAATTAATTACATTTTGTGAAACTTACTCGTTATTAATAATATAATACGATATACTTAATTTTACTTAAAATATATTCTATTTCATGTTTTTATAACATGTACCATATATATTATATTATTAAAAATATAAAGTATAGTTTAAGAAAATGATATAAAAGTACTATTATCTATTGCAATCTCTGTACAAGACCTGTGTAAGTGATTTCTATTACATTTAAAACATGATTGAATTTATCTGAGTATTCTTATTGTAATCTTTAATATATCACGGCATTCTAGGAACTCTCATAAATCACACAAATGAACGAATGTAATTTCGTATTCATCATTCATCACGGCTGTTTGCTAAACTCGTGTATAATATGCAGTAACATCATTGTATAAGAATTTGTAGGTAAATAATATTTGGAAACGTGTTCCAATTGCTCTTGTCGAAAAAGATGGACCAAATCTCATCAAAAAACCCCAAACTAGTGGTAAAAGTTTAATTATATAAGCTTAGCCTTATAGTAGTATTATTAATTGAGTATTTGATTCTTTGAAACTATTTACGTTTAGGTCTACAACATCAAAATAGTTATAGCAAATAAGGAATAGAAAGTTTATTTAATGATATACATATGTTTCTGTTCACTTTTATTTTCTTACACAACTGGTATGAAATTGCTTAAATAATAAATAATAATAATAATAATGTAGGAAATAATAATAATAATAATAATGTAGGAAATTAATAAGTATTTGGATAGGTAACTGGGAAAACACTGGCTTTCATAATACAGTTCTTTTAAGCATCGCGGTGACTAATGTCAATACTTGGTTTGTTTGTTTGCACTTAATCGGC